TTTTTAAATTAAAATTAAATTAATTATTAAATTAATATTAAAACTAAAATTTAATTTAACCATGTACAATTGTACACATATGACATATATGCGATAAAAATCAAAAAATTATTAGCATAATTTTTCAATGTGATATGAAAAGATGGTGATTAATAACTAGTTTGAAAAGTTTTCAACACTTCAACAATAGTACAGCATTCAAAATTAGAAGATTTTCATTATATACCCAACATACAAATATCTGTGCTGAAAAGAATACATGTTTATCTTATTCTTTGTTAAACACTAGTCCAAAATTTACAAACAATCATAATGTGCTTTTAATAAATTAACTCTGCCCATTTTGAATTATCTAGCACTTGATTATTTATTTATATCAAATTGAAAATAATTTAATACAAGTTAATTCTTAGGTAAGTAATTTAATACAAGTTAATTCTTAGGTAAGTTTTTTAGATCATTACTTGTCAAATATCAATGGCTTATCAATGGAGTGGTTAACAAGGGTTAGGGCGGACGGAGTCAATTTATTAAAAGTGCATTGCGATAGTTTGTAAACATGGACGATACCATAGGAGTACTGATCTCACGTTTTACCGTTTTTAATAAAATTTTCAATCATTTCACAAAGGATTGAAAATTTTAACCACTCCATATTTGTGAAATGATTGAAAATTTTGTTAAAAAGGGAGGCCCTAACCCTAACCCTGTTAACCACTCCATAAGCCATTGATTGTTATCAAAACAGAAATTTACTCATATTTTAACTTTTTTTTTATTTAATGTTCACTATTTCAACTATTTGACAAGTAATGATCTAAAAAACTTCATTCATTCATTCAATGATCCTCTGTAATCCCTTAAGGGACTGTTGAGGCCGATGGTATTCTTCTATTTCTCCAAAATCCTTTTCTTTCTCTCACCATCTTCATTGAGCCCAATGTTCCAACCCCCGTCCATTCCGTGATATCATCCATCCACTTTCTCACAGGTCTACCCACTTTTTTCTTCCAGTCCCTCTTTCTCATCAGTACTTTTTTGATCAGTCTGTCATCTGTCATTCTGCAGATGTGCCCAAAGATACCCATCTTTCTTTCCTTGACAATTTCATACACAGTTTTTTGTCTTCCAAGTTGTTTTCTTATGGCATCGTTTCTTATCTTTTGTCTCTAATTGATTCCCAGCAACTTTCTATAACAATGCATCTCGAATGCTTCCAGTTTGTCTTTGTCTCTTTTCTTCAACGTCCAAGCCTCACATGCATACATCAATGTAGAAAACACACACGCTTCTACGATCTTTAATTTTGTTTTTGTAGATACATTACCATTTTTCAATATTACTTTCAAAGATGCAAACATTCCTCTTGCGATTGCTATTCTTCTATCAATTTCTTTCAAACAATTATTGTCATCAGTTATGAGGCTGCCCAGATATATAAATTGGTTCACTTGTTCGAGCTTTTCTGCTCCTATCTGGAATTCGTCATTGTTTCCACCTGCTTCCGAAATATTTATCTTTGTCTTACTGCTGTTGATGTGTAGTCCATGGTTTCTTCCACCCTCATACGTCAACTCGATCAGTTTCTGTAGACCATCTGCACTAGATGCTAGCAGATCTATATCATCTGCAAACCTGAGGTCCCTTATCACTCTGCCTCCAATGTCGATTCCTTCAATATCTGCATTCTCCATTTTTTCCAAGGCTCTTTCCAACAGTGCTAAGAACAGTAATGGTGATATTGGATCTCCTTGTCTACTTCCTATGTTCACTTTGATCCAGTCTCCCAGCTCTGTACCTACCTTTACCGCCATTGTTGACTCCTCATAAAGCCCTTTCAGCACCCTTACCATTTTTGTTGACACTCCCATACTTTCCAAAGTTGCCCACAAACCTTCGTGCCAGACTGAATCAAACGCCTTCTTAAAATCCACAAAACAATGAAAAGTTGTTTGACCTCTGCTTCCTGCATCTACCAACAATAGTCTCAACATCAGGATTTGCTGGACTGTACTTCTGTCCTTTCTGAAACCTGCCTGCTCCTCTCCTAAATGCTGCTCTATGTCTATGTCTTTCTCCAATCGTTCTTTCAAGATCGTCAGCATGATCTTGCACATATGAGGGATCAGTGCTATTGATCTGTAGTTGTTGCAGTCTTTCAGGTCTCCTTTTTTTGGCAATATGATCAAGATTGATTTACGCCAATCTTCTGGCCATTTTCCCCTGTCCCAGATTTCTTGGCAGATTTTGTGAATCTCATTACATACAATTGGTCCTTCCGCTTTGATCAGCTCTATGGGAATTCCGTCTCTCCCTGTGCTCTTGTTGTTCCTCATTTTCTTCATTGCTTTTATTACTTCCTCCAATGTTATTTCCGTTTCTTCCTCATTGACTACTTTTCTTTCTTTTAAAGCCTGTAACACCTCCTTTGTATACGTGTTTTTATCTGTGAACAGGTCCTTGATATATTCCGACCATCTATCTTTGATTTGTTGGCCTTCAGTTAGAACATTTCCATCCTTGTCTTTAATAATCCTTGACGTATTCTTCAGTTTTCCTTTTAACTGTCTGACTAGCTGATACGCCTCTCTTGTTTTGTTTTGTCTAACTAGTGCTTCTACCCTTTCGCATCTATCGTTTATCCATCTTCTTTTATCTGCTCTGGCATTTTTCTTTATTTTGCAACACAGTTGTTTATATTTCATCTCATTTTCGTTGTTTTGTCTTTTTGTTGCTTTCAGCTGTCTTCTTTCCTCTACGAGTTTCCAAGTTTCATCACTTATCCAGGGTTTTATTATGTTTTTCCCTACTTCGCATTTTTCGGCTGCAGTCTTAAGCACTTTCTCCAAGTTACTGACTCTTGTTTTCATATCGTACTTTGTTTTTCTAAAAAACTTACCTAATTAAATTATTTTCAATTTGATATAAATAGATAATCAAGCGCTAGATAATTCAAAATGGGCGGAGTTAATTTATTAAAAGTACATTATGATTGTTTGTAAAGAATATATCAGACAGGCCATACTTAACATTAACATGATTTATATAACAATAAAATTTTTTTTTAAATTATTAACTTTAATACTCGCTTTATTTTTTCAAGGTTTACTGAAAATGGTTATAAAGAAGGATATTTAGATGGCACAAAGAATTCTGAAAATTATAAAACTGGATTTAATATGGGTTTGATAAAGGCTGATGAAGTATGCAAAGAGGTGTGAATTTATTCTTAGCAAATATGCTTTTGTATAGTTTCATTGTTTTTTTTTAATTTATTTGCATTATTAAGTGGATTTTTTAGATCAATAGAATTTTAATAAAAAAAAATTTGAGTAACTGCTTTAAATTTTTCCATTATTTACTGATACACAAGGGATGTAGTGCTATTTAACGAAGTTATCAGGGCATATCTCATGTATGAAACAAAAAGAAAAACAACACAAACATTATTATTAGCAAGCAACTTTTGTAGAGAAATATAGTTATTTTTGTTGAATATAAAAATTAGATAAGCATAAGTTTTTGGGATAAATGTAAAATTTGTAGCTAGGAAAGTTTATGGGAACAACGATTGAGCCTTGAATGTTATTGTTTTGATTAGTGTAATTATTAAACAACAATTTATAAGTTTATGCAAATCTAAGAACAGCAAAAGGCTTTGATGAACCTGATTATTTGGTAATTTTATATTTATTTAAAAATTTTTTAAATCTTTTTAATTTAAATCAAAAATAGCAATGAGAACATGTAAAGATTATGATATATGCAATGAAGAAAAATTTAAAACATAAAAATATAAAGCAAATTAGCTTAGTTTAGCAGACAGAACATAAACATATGAAAGTAAAGAAGCAAGTTTGTTTAGTGTGGCAGAAAACAGAAAAATTGTATAATTTTCTTGTTTCATGTGTCATGAATATGGCTTTTCTCTCATATAATTTTAAAAATGAAAAGCAGAAATAAATTAGGTTTTTTTATCTTACATTTGGAGTGAATTCCGTTGGTTTTGATCCATAAGAAACACCATCATGTGAAATGTGCAATTAATAAAAACTTTAATATTCTCATTTCAGTTAGGATATTTCTGGGGATTTGCCACTTTTTGGATTAATTACTTACAAATGGATGCTAACGCAGACAACATGTGGGTTTTTTTAACATAAAGAGATATTGAGTGTCATACAATAATTTTCGAAAAAACATCCAGGAAGAAAATTAAAAGTTTGGCTGAATTGAAGAATAACGTTGAAGATTTGAATATTTTAAGCTGTGATGTTCACCAACAAATTTTGAACTTGAAACTGAAATACAATCAAGTTTGTTGTAAAGTATTTTATATAAAGATATTTGGCTAAAATTGAATGATCTAAATAGATTAGGATGTAATAGAATTATTTTATTTTTTCATAGAAATTATCCACTTCGTCTTTGAGTTGTAACTTGGTGCTTCATTCATATTTTGCATTATAGACATTAATTTTTTTAAACAAACTAATAATTTGGTAGAATTTTAAATAAACTAAGTCATACGGATTACTTTATAAATTTAGCAACATTTAGTACAAATTTTTTACCCAACTTCAATCTATTTATATTATTGCTCAGTTTGTGTATTCATTTCATGGAAAAATTATATATTTTTATTAAACTCTCATTGATAAGATTTGCAGAAAAATTAACATTCCAATGGATGGTTTCAAGCTACAAGCTGCATTCCAGGACCGTTTGAGTTTCTGATGTGGTTGAGATGCACCTCTTTTTCCAGTGTCTGGAAGGCCCTCTCCAAGACACTTCATTGCATTATCTGGCGCAGGAGACGGATAAGATGCATTTTTTTTAAGTTTTAAATCAAATACTTTGAAAAATTTTTTGAAAACAAACCTTGAAATATTGAAAGTAAAATAAATTTGAAAATGTTAGAATATGAAATATAAATTGTTTGTTCAAATAATAAAAATTTAAAAAATTTCTGTGCTAAAGCATATTTTTGTTAGGCTTGATTAAAAATCAGCAAACTCTGTACTGTAACTTTTTCTCGATTTCGGTATTGGAGTTTCTTTTATTTTTCCAAAAAATCTGGTATCTTCTGGACTTTTTAATTCAGGGATGTAATCTGGAATAATCTGACAATAAAAAGTGAAGGAACATCAAGTCGGGTTCAGTAAAACTTCGATTGACTAAAATGAATTCCTATAATTTTAAGTTTACTTCAAAACTTCTCCGATACGATCAAGCAAAATGTTCGATACGCTTGTTAGCAATATACCATACGTAATTTTTGACAATGATCCAATAATGATTGGGTTGGAAGGAATAAAATTTAATCTACGCAAAACTACTCCGATACAATCAAGCAAAATGTTCGATACTGCTCCGTTGCATAGGCACAGATGTTGAGGTGTGCGGTGCAGTGCAGTCTATTATCAAGCATTCTTTGCATTGAGTTGAATATTTTTAAATTCGTTAAGTCATTTTTGATTCGTGTTTTCGAGGGACTTTTTACATTACTCCCGAGCAAACTTATTGCACTTCCAATAAATTTAAATTATAAGTAAGTTATAACCTTAAAAATTTCACTTTGTTTAAATTAAATCTTCTGAAAGTAATTAACGGTGTAACCTTATAGTTTAGTAAATCTTGCCAGTTGAAATTATAGAACCATATATGTTCGGCAATATCATCTGCCCCATTTTTCATGTTTCCCAATCTACGTGTAACGTCTAATTGTATCAAATGGGACAACAAATCTTTTAGATCTTTACTAAAGAAGCTCGGGCATCTAAACTTATAAAATAATGTGTTAATCTGCTTACCGTGTCACTTTTATTACATTACGGTTAAACATTTTCAAGTCATAGCCTGCTTTTAACGAAATTAATTTATGATATTTACATAGCCTTCACATATTTTTTGATAAATTTCTTCCTCATTCGACCCATCGAACGGCAAAGAGCCGCCAGTCATTTCGAACAGCAGGATTCCAAACGCCCACCAGTCAACCTCCGTCTTATAACCCTTGAAATAAAAAGTTTGAATATTTCAAAAGCCAACTAAAAATGGAAAGGACACAGCATGGTATCCAAACACTGGTTATGGTGATTTGGTCATGAATAATAATGTTTAATGAAATTTGTACCTTCAGTTTTTAAACGTCATTTTCATCAATGCATCATGAAATCATAAATTAAATTTCAATTCACATTTCATTTTTACTTTGTGCATTATAATTTCTGGCGCCATATAGTACGGAGATCCACAGGTTGTATATGTTCGTGATTTCATCACTTTGGCAAATCCTAAATCCGTTAACTGTTTCATGTTTTAATTTCGATGCAATTAAATATAAGTTTATTAATAATGGAAAAAATTTAATACAAATAAATGCAAATAAAAATAGAATGATCTCAGCGCACGGAATCTTGTTTTTCTAGAATTCTCTACAGCGGTTCTCTAATCTCTAATGTATCGCCATATGCAATTTTATACAGCAATATGTAATATGGTGAGCTTAGTCAGGTTTCATTCAATTTGTTCTTTGGAAATTGTTCTCACCCGTAAATCATCGGTATAACATTATGTGGTATGTAGTATTTCTTTTTTAAATGCATAACTCGCCCTTACCCATAAATAAATGAAATGAGAAATGACTCAGTAGGCTAATGTAGTATAAGTTTTTCTTAACATAACATCCGTTGTTATTTGTTCAAAAACGGTGCGTTGGGTCTTGATTCCAAATCACAGTTGTATGAGCTATTGAGTCTTCATGTGCTGAACATGCAGTGGCGGATTAACCGGCCCGTAATTTGCCGCCCAAATTATATAATAATTTAAAAAAAAATCAAAAAAGGTAATATTTTCAATACATTTCTATTGGGCACATTCTTTAATAATAATGTTTAAGTAATTGGTAAAAAAGGCTTTTGCATTAAACAGTCTATTCTTTAAAAAAAGTTACTTCAAAACATTACGACGTGTTTTTCTACGCGCCGACTCATCAAAAATGAAATTAAAGTCAAATCCTTGCAAAATTGTTTTTTCAATGCACATGATTGCAAGGAAGTTTAGACTTTGTCCCGACATCGTTGAACACGGCCGGACTGTTTGTTGCAGGAGTGCTAGTGTACGTCCGAAGTGTAATGTCTATATATGCACTGCAACTTATTCACTCTTGTCCATTTAAATAAGTCAATTAGAGTGTTTGGAACTAAATTTTGGTCTAAGGAGGCCAAATAAGACTTTAAATACAAAAGTTTTAAATTTAAAGAGTCATCTAGATCGTTGATAAATAAAGATCTACACAACATCTTAATTTCAATTCAACTTGAACATTTTTTAATCATTGGTTTTCGAAATTCGCCGCTTCTCAAAATTTGCCGCCCCAGGCAGGTGCCTGTGCGTAAATCCGCCACTATGAACATGTATCATGATGCTTCGAGGAAAAACGTTTTAAAGAACTCAAAAATTAACACACATACAATAGAAGACTAAATACTTTAATCTAAATTTTGAGATATAATAGTCACCTTTACATAGCCATTGGAATCCAACATTACGTTCTCAGGCTTCAAATCTCTATGTGCAACATCCAAATTGTGCAAGTATTCCAAACCCAGGAACACCTGTGCTCCATAAAATTTACTTTGATTTTCTCTATACGGAAATTAAATTAAAATTGAAAATACAAAAACTTTTTAAAAAAACTGGATAATAATTGTTGAGCATAATTTTTGATAAATTTAAACACTTGATTTAATTAACTTATTTATATCTGTTTTGTCGTATTTAACTATTTTATGTTTTAAATATTTTATTTTGCTTTTTTTTGCTAATTCAAATTGAAAGTTCAGCGCAACGTCTAAAAAAATCACTTGAATTTTTGGGAGCGAGTTAGATGCCAATAAAGATTACCACACGGAACATAATCAAGTACCATGTAGATGTTGTCATAATCCTAAAAATAGTGTAAAATTTAAATGAAATTTCTAAATCAGTCATAAATACAGTTGGAAATATAGTGACAGATTGAGAGGCGAACAAGCTTTAGCAATTAGTTTAACACAATAGTTAATGAATTTATTCATATTCTTCAAACCTTAAAACAAAAGTGGCAATGGACAATGAACTGAAAAGAAACAGCTTGCAAAATCTTTTTCTCCCACATTGTTTGTGTGAAAAAATTTCTCTTGATGATCTAAACATTCAAAGAGGGAATGTTGCTAAAATAAGATGAATGACGACTTAATTAATGCAAAATATACTTGTTCTTTTCTCATGGATTTCATGGCATATAACGTTTTGTTTTTGTGCCGAACCAGGGAAACTTTTCCAAATCCTCCTACGCCCACAACTTTAATCAACTCAAAATCGGATATCGATGCATTATTCTGAAAATTATAATTATGAGGTGATTAGCGTTATACTAAGTTCTTTACTTACTAATATTATACGTAGGAATTAAACTTGAGTTGAAGTTGAATATAATTTTCTTGAAACTCCCTGTACCAATTTTAAAACATGAGCGAGGTCCATGCTAGGTTCCAATTTAAATTAGTAGCTTTTTGCAAAAAAGGAATGTGATCTTTGTCTTGTGTACATTTTATTTTGTATTTTTTTGACCCAGATACTCGTTCATTTAAACATACTGAGCCCGAAAGATGCAAAATTTTAAAAAAAGTATTGAGGCCACCGTGCTCGTTTTTACGCACTGATTTTTGTTTATCTATGGCTTTATGATTACTTTGCAGAGGAGTATCTCGGCTTTTAAGTCACTCCCTAAATATATATTTGCATTATAAAAGTGGTTCGGCATAAGTCTGACTCAACTCATGATTGGGAACCTCTGATCGAAGTCGTAGCCAGGTTTTCAATTTAGGGCCTGTTTTTTACCAGAGGGAGGCCTGCCAAGCACGACGATTTCAAATTAGCGTGACTATATGATACCAGAAAAAAGATGCTAAATGTGCTGAAATATTATGCAAATGCATGAAGTAAACCAATTAAAGAATAACCAAAATCAATAAAATTTTCAATAATGAATGTTATTAATAAACAATATAAATGGAAAAATTGTAAAATTTGATTGTTCATAGAAACTAAAGAATTACCTAAAGCGCACTGAAAATATGCCCTCGTACCTTCAAGGGCCAGAATAATTATTCTAAGTGTATTTAAAAAACACATTTTCTGTGCGCTTTAGGGTCTGGTGTCATTTTTAGTTTCCAAAAACATTTCCTCAGTTTCCTCAAATTTTACAATTTTTTTACAATGGTTTTTTTTACATAATAAAATTAAAATGTAATGAAAATAAATAAAATTTTCAAAATATCTAATCCATCAAGCAAGCTACGTAAAAAAATTATATAAGTTAATTTAACGACGAGATTTTGGGATTTAAAGTTCACAATTGTAAATTTTAATACTTGAACATGAAAAGCTAAATCACTGAAACAATTTTCATCTTAAACTGCTTCTTGAATGAGCTTTAAAAGTTTTACAATGTTGAGAAATTTTTTCAATGGTTGAAATTGAAACTGGTTGTTATCAGCATTGAGATGAATGTTTAGTAAATGGTTGGCGCTGCAGTCTGTCAAGGCATTGCAATCGGCAAATCAATTTGCTAATTTGGATGTTTCAATAGCAAGTGTTTGAACCCATAAAGATCATATCCCTAGCCATTGTAACTGTATCCGTTCTAAGAATCTTTTAGCTCGCCCATATAAATATTCCATATATGCATATGGCTCAGCCAAATAAAAGAAACTAACACCAAGTTTTTCAATGTAATATTCATAAAATGATAAAACTGTTAAAGTTATAGATCGTGTTTACTTTGTGTCCTTTTAATAATTTTAGCGATTGAATCAAAATTTCTGGTTAATTTTATGTTTTTCTTGTTAAAAATAGATATTAAGATAGACTATTTTATGTAATTGTTTTCTTATGTATATTGAATAACTAAATGGTTTTAGCAAATTTGAGAGGAGGCTTCAGCCACCATAGTCTACCTCGCTATGACTTTGACCCTGATAGTCAAGTTTTTTTACAAAATTAATAAGCAATTTTTTTACTTTTTTCAACCAACTCTCTACTCTCATAATGTAAAAAATTTTTATCGATTTGTTGCACAACAACCGAAACACAAGAATGCCGATAACTGAGAGGTTTAAACATAACCTCCTTATCACATTATTTGAAATAGTAAAATGCAATAAATTAATGGTTTTCAACAATACTTAAAATACCTTGATTGGATTTTCAATTAAATAGGTAAAATTTTCGTGTGCACCATCAAGATACCTTTTATCTTAAAATGTAAAAATTATCTCTAGTGTATAAATTAATAGTTAGCATTAATAAATGAAAAGTGTATGAAAGTAACAGATTTAAAATAAACTAATGTTACATTATAACAATGACCTTAAGTTTTAAAATGACTAAAATAAATTATACTGATAATAATTATTGTTATTATTTTTTTATTATTGCTCAACATACCATAAGTCATTTTCGAATTTCAATATCTCGAAGAACAATTTTACTTTAAAAGCATGCAACGTGCAATCTTATTAACAAAAAATAATTTTCTTCTGTTGAATAAACTTCGCCAAGATTTAATTAATGCTGAATTTGAAAGTGTTGATATTTAAGTGGGATGAAAATAACGTAAACTTTTACGTTTTAATTTTGTAGCGTTTAATCAATAAAAATGTCATTTTTTTTGCTAGGTAATATTAAGCAGCCCATCTTTTATTCACCATCTTGTCTCGGTCATCGTATCATCGATGATAAAGATAGCTGATAATGTGTCGGAGTGTTTAATATTTTAATCGTGTATTTGTTTTTTTTAACTATTGGAACTGATTGAAATGGAGGCTGTCAAAGAATTTAATTTAGAGGTTAGTGACGACAACGCTGTACGCATTGGTAGTAGCGACGAGGCATACGTTCTTGTTTTTTGTGTTCACTGAAGTTTAGTAAAGCGTGTTCTCTTGCTCAGAAAGAAGCTAACAGAATTAAGTCAATCGTCGTATGGGACGCTGAGCCAAATTTTCTACCAAACTAGCTAGACTCATTTGAATTTTAATGATTAATATTGTTTTTAAAATTTTAAAAACTTTAAAATATAAAATTTTATGAATCCAACTTTGCAATTAATTAATCATTTGAATTTATTTAAATTAAATTATTAAATAATAATACTGCTATACTCTTTTTATAACACAGTGTTTATGATGTTTTTTGTGACATTTATTTATTGTTATTATTAATATTAGTTTAGTTTAGTAAAGTTTAACTTAAAAAAAGTTTTTTTTACAACTAGTGCATGCTGTTTTGTATGTCTATTTAAGATTGTTAGTTTTCTTTCATTAATATTAAGATTAATTGTTTCAATTTTACTCTAACTGTTTTTAACAACAATCAATATTAGTACATATGATAGCTCTCAATATTGACTAAATACTAATAAAATGTAATAAAAATAAATATAGTCTAGCAACAAAACAAATGCAATAATCTTGCTTGGCTTGCCTAACCTTTTTTTTGTCTGTGGTGGTGGCGAGAGATGGATTTAGATGAGGTTAAATGCATACTTCTATTATTGTGTGATGACGACATGATAATTTATAATTGCTATATAAAAAATAATAAATTAAACTAATTAAAGGAATAGACAAATGTTTGTAAACAAAACATCATAAAAAAACAAAGTTTTTTAAATTATTGAAGTTTTTGTTTATTTTTGTTTGCATACTTTTTATAAAATGCTAATTTCACTTTTTATTTAGATATTTGTTTATCAGAAAATTTAAAATTTAAAATATAAATTTATCAATATTTGGCAAGACTATCACATTGTAAATTTTTAAAAAATATATTATGCTGGATGAACAAGTTAGTTTATAGATATATATATATATATATATATATATATATATATATTATATTGCTATATTGTATATATATAGTATAGCACAATTTTTTTTACACCCAGTATCATCGTTTGTTAGATATCAGTCAAAACACTGTCTTATCACATGATAACTCAAAAGGAGTTTGATTGTAAATGATAATCATTTTTTATTTTATTCAAATAATTTGGAAGAAAAAATTAATTTTTGGCTGTTAAAAATAATTATATTTAAACTATGTCTTGTTGTACTTCCAAATATATAAGTTTCTTTTTCCACTAATAAAAATGAAATTCATTTTGTTATTTTTTTTTTAAATATTGTTTTAGTTATTAGCTCATGGCATGTCACATTTGACAAATATCTAACTTTTGACAAGCATTTCTGAAATCATCAGACCATATAATTATCATCTTTTTGTAATGAAACAAATCCAACGCATGATCACATTTGATGTCGCAGCACTTCTTGGTAGATGTCTGGTCCTATCAAAAATAGACTAATGAAACTTTTTATCATACATTGCCTCACACATCTTTTGTAACATCTTTAGTACATTCTCTTCCAAATGCTTCATTGGCTTCCTGTCTCCGTTCAAATCATTTTTAAAATTGCAGTCCTAACCTTCAAAATATTATTATAAAAATACCCAGCATATCTAAATTATCCTGTCTTTTGCAATGAACACGCCAGATCACTCCACAGGTCCTCAGCAGGATTTCTAAACATCCTTGTTGCCAAACCCCTCTTGCTAGTTGCTACTTCCGTCACACTGCTTATGATGTTTGGAATGCTTTACTTATTGTAATGAAATAATGTTTCTCACTGATTCTTTTAAAAAAGAGCCAAACTTCTCTTGCTGATACATATACGAAAGCTCTAGTTGCCTCTGAAGTTGTGGTGCAAATTGGCGCCATTATGTAAATATAAATGTTATTATTATTATTATCATCATCATATATCGTTTTATCTTTGTATTTTTTTGGCAGTGGATGTCTTTCATTTTCAATCTTTCTCAAATTTAGAACAATTTACAATGAAATTTTTGACCATCTTACTGCTTTTGACACATTTGAAATGATTTATTTGTGGGATCTGTTAAGATTATTATAAAATGCTATGTTTCAGATTTGATTTTGGAAGTCATGTTTTTTATCATGTACCACTGTACAAATATGTCTTTTAAAATTTTTTCAGTTCCAATTAGTGTCATTTGCTTGATACCTGCAAAACTTATTTGCTGATTTTCTGCTTCGGTTTTCTGTAGTTTCTGCATAATTAATCAATTACTATCAGTCTGCCTACCTATTTGATTTCTTCACTCAGTTGTGCTCAGTTTGTTAGACTTATTGGTATATTATGATATATATATATATATATATTATGTATATTATGATATATATATGTTGGTAATAGACCATAATTTTTACAGTATTTTATAAATTCTACCGAATGTTTGGCGTTAATATGTTTGTAGTTCGTTTTTTCGATTTTTCTC